ATTTCGGGCCTGATTTTATCAAAGAAGCAAGAGAGCAAGTCAGTGTTATTCAGAGTCATTTGAAAGCAGCTCAGAATCGTCAGAAAACTTATGCAGACAAGAGGAGAAGGCCCTTGCAGTTTGAAGTTGGTGACCATGTGTACCTAAAGGTATCCCCGATGAGAGGTGTACATCGGTTCAGAGTCCGGGGAAAATTAGCTCCTCGTTATGTCGGACCCTATAAAGTTTTAGAACGGTGTGGTGCTGTTGCTTATCGTCTCCAACTTCTGGATATTTTATCTGTAGTACATAATGTCTTTCATGTTTTCCAATTAAAGAAGTGTTTACGAGTTCCTGAGAAAGTGGTGGAAATTTAAAGACTCCCTCCCCAACCTGATCTTTCTTGTATTGAGCATCCTGTCAAAATCTTGGATGAAAAAGAGAGAGTCACTAAGAACAAGGTGGTGAAATTTTATAAAGTTTAGTGGCAAAATCATTCGGAGGACGAAGCAACTTGGGAATAGGAGAATTATATTCTAGAGCATTATCCTCATCTTCTCCCCGGTGTGCCGAGGTAATAGTTTATGTTAAAAGCTTACTCTTACCCTTTTCCTACACTAGGCACTCACATGAAATCTTGGGATGAGATTTTGTTTAAGGGGGGAGAGTTGTAACACCCTCGGTGTTACACCCTAAATCATTTACTAAAACATGTCATGAACATCATGTTTAGGTGTTAGTGCATGTGACAAAGTGTGTAGATCAATTTCTTGTAACCTAAAATGACTAATAAAAATGTTAAACAAAAGTTGATTCAATAGCTCATGTATATCAAGTAGGGTTTAAAACTAATTTTTATTGAACAAAAACACTATAGAACATATGTGTAGCGCTTAAATAAAGTTTGGAATATGAACTTTGTAGATGGCGATGAAATACTTGCTGTAGAAAAATAACATTGCTAGCCAACATTTCTAATAGCCTAGAACTACATCTTGGAATCAAATTCAGCTCAAAAGACAGAAGATTTTTAAGTGTATAGACATCTAAACAATGCCATATTTGGCAATTTATTTTGCGAAATTGGGTTAAGAAAAGGTGTTATGTTTTAGCTCGGGTTGGTAGCCTCATATGCCATCTTGAGCATGGTGAAGATGGTTTAGGTCCAGAAGCAACCGTTTAGTTGTTATAGGCGCTTTAAATTTCGTGCACAGCACGTTCTCGAGCTAGTTCACCGGGTGAATGCGGTCACCACACCTCGGGGGCGCGGCGTCACCACGCCTGCTTGCTCTGCGTGTGCACGTGTGCTACTGCGCATGTCCGGCTACTCTAACCAGGCTGTGGCCTGGCCGCCGCCGGCCTCTAGCGGGCGGAGCCGCTGTTGCTGCTTGCGTAGCCAAGTGGTGCCACCGCTGGCCCTGCCGTGCCGCCGCACTACCGACCAACCCCGCACCGCGATGCAGCCATTGCCAGTGTTGTCGCGTCCGCGCCTGTCCTCTGCACCTCTGCGCCGCTGCTAGCTACGTTCGAGGCCGCCTCTGTCGCGTGCACGTGGCCGAGCTCGCCGTCGCCTTGTCAATTATGGCTCTGCAGCCACGCGGGCCATGCCAGTCGGGGACGCGCGCGCTTGTCCGAAGCATCTGCGTGCGTGCCTCCACGATCATGCCGACCACGTCTCGCCAAGGCGAGACCGAGATGAGCCCACTTGTCGCCCCGTCTCTCTCTCTCTGCTGCCGCCGTCAAGCCACACCATCAATTGGCCACAGAGTCCTCACCTCAATTCAATTCAGCGCATCTATGTCTTCACCATCAGGTGCTCTCGCTGCTCGACCCCACCTAGCCATAAAGAAGGCATTGCCAAGCTCCAATTTTGGAATTTCTCCGCCGCCGTGCCGATAAGACCGTGTCCGGCCATGGATGTGGGCAACCCTGTTACCGCCCCACCCGAGCCAATTCACCTGCACCACTAGCTTCACCTTGCCTCCCTCTCCACCTTGCGCACGCCAGTGGAACCGCTACCGCCTCTCTGTCGCCGCTGACGCGACCACGCCATCGCGGTGTGCCGTCGTATGGCTCGGCCGCACGTGGCCACACCTCCTCCGCCATCCTCCACCCTAACCGTCATCACGGCTAGGTCCACGGTTGTCTACTAATGCTCATGCGCTAACCAATTAGGTCTGTAGCTACCCCAGTTCATCAAAATAGTGGCGCCGCCATCGCGGATGGCCGCGCGCCGCTGCAACCTTCCCAGCAAGCCATGTCACCCCGCACCGCTGCTTAGCGTAGCCGCTCGGGTTGGAGATGGTGACCGGCCCGTTAGGTGGTCTGTCGTAGGTCCCAGGTGCCCGACGCAACCGCGCTGTGTCACCGGCCACCGCGCCGCCATGCGCTGGGTCGTCGGGGGTGTGTAGGGAAATTCTAGGAAAGTTAGGGGGTTAAGTGAGAAGGTTTGAGAGAGGGAAAATAGTGTTAGCACTTATTTGTAATTCAGGAGAAGTTAGACGTATCTTTTGTAACATCACCAGCGCGCGCAGGCTTTCCTCGGCACGGGCCGTCTTCGCGTGGGCCGCGCCTGCGGACCGCTGCACACAGGCATTGTGTCGCGTGGGCCGCGCGTGTGGGCCGCATGGGAGAATTCGTTTTTATTTTTCATAAGAAATTAGAAATAGTTTTCTAATTTAATTTCTGAGCTGATCTTTGACAATATAAAATCGTGTATATGTCCAAAAATTGTGAAGAGATTCACAAAATTGTGCTCTATCTGTTGGTATACTTAGTTCATATATATATATATATGTTGATACTATGAACCATTAAATCGTTTGAGAATGCTTCATATTATTAAATTAATCATTGTGGGAATTTTTGTGGTAAATTAGTGCTAGCTTTAGTCCTGGAATTTTATATTAGCTTCGTGGTATTATTACGTGCTCACTGTAATTTTTGTATCCTTAGGGTAGACTAAGCATTAGGGTAGTTAATGCTCTTTGTTTCAATATACATTAAATCACTAGTAGAAATAAAGATATATCCTTAATTTACCAAGCTAAGGATTTGTTAGTTGAATCCAACACTCTGCTAGATGAAGATGATAGTAGCTTAGTTTGTGTATTCTTATTTTAAGAATTGCTATTGCCTAAATGCTAAATGTTGTATCATCATCGCATGCATGTAGAGAACGAGTTGGTGGAGATAGTGACCACAGACGATGGCGAGTTCGTGGAGATCATCGAGGAGTACAAGGAGGAGATCCTCGTGAGAGAGGAAGTCCTGGAGCCACCGACGACTGACTCAGCTGACACCGTGCCTGCCCAAGGCAAGCCCCGATGCATAACTCTTATTTTTGATAATCACTGAATATATATATATGTGATGTGCATTTACGTTATAAGAATTTTATGAAAACCACATGCATAGATATATCTGTCCTAAGAATCTTACTAGTGCAGGTTCGAGTAGATGTTATGCTTAGGTCATCGGTAGTGGGAGTAACCTACCGTTGCTCATAATATGGGATTATTATTACTCTCATAATAAAATGATGAAAGAAAAAATAGAGACAGAACAAGGATATGGTATGAGTATTGATGGGTGTAATAGAAGGTATGAGAATAATGGTAATTTTGGTAATTGAATTATCCCCTGAACGACAAATACAAGTGGATTTATTATTTAGTGGTACAATCAAAATCCCAAAAATTTATAGAGAATATAATTTAAAATCCACTAAGGAAGAATTAGAGAAGTATTCAAACTCTAAGTATACGTTTGATACACTATCTATAAGATATTGAATATTGTAAACTATTTATCCCATAATTCTCTGAAAGGACTTATTACCCATAAGGATAAATTTTATTTATTTTGCACAACTAATAAGTGATCATTTATGCATGAAGCATCTTTCTATTGTTTACTCATATTATAATTCATAGAAGAATTATGAGGTAATATTTTTAAAGATATAGTATGGTGGTACTGCATACCATTATTAAGCACATATTTATGAAAAGTGTGGTTTGAACAATGATGTTCAAAGGATGGCTTTATGAGGGGGAGCAATTTATTTGAATCTGCCTTTAAGGTAATCAAACCACTAGAATTATCAAGATTAAGTAGATCATATTTGCTAAAAATGTTGAAGTTTATGTATTTATCATGAAGATAAATATCTATTCATGAAGAATATAATATTCTGAAGAATACATGACGAAAATGTTAAATGTTGTACTCTTTTTTTCTATATGAGTTTTTACTTGAAGGTTTCTCATACAAGGTTTTAATGAGACAACATGTGCAATGCAATTAACGAATGCGGTGTACTATTTTTTTTTCTAAGAACCGTTTTTTCCTATTGAGTTTTCGGATAGAGTTTTTAACGAGGCATATGCATATCGTGGTAATCGTCTAAGGAAGAGTGTTGTAAAATATAAGGACTCTATTCTGGAAGGAAAGGAGGAGAAACCATAATCCTAGTCCGTTTGTATGTGGGGCTCTTACCAAACTCTCAGGCCTTGACAGGACCATATATATATATGTGAGAGCTCTATGTTGTAGTCACCGATATTCAGAGAAATAAAGAATAGTCTCCCTATCTCTTGTGTCTATATATTCTACTTTTATCTACTATATTAATCATGAAAGACGGAGAGAAAAAGATTGACAACATGTTTTATAAAAAAAGACCCAGGCTCAAACTAGCATTATGCCACCATCAAAAGCCTCACCTGCGACCACCGCGGCAGCCCGGCCCGCCAGAATTCGGACTGGGGGCCTGCAGCAATGCACATTCGTTCGTCGCGGTCACGGTGTGTGTGTGGGGGTGTCGACTGTGGACTAGTGTCGACCAGCCGTCCCCATTGCCGGATCCCCAAATCCCAATCATCAATCAACGCCAGGCGCCCAGGCCAACCTACCCGCAACGATCCCAAGAGCGTACGCTTCTCTCGGCGCCGTCCTCGTTCCCTGGCCCCGCCCCGCTCCCCGAACCCGACCGTCCCCACTCACCGCCGGCGAAGAAGATGCACCTGTGGCCATCGCTCCGGATCCGCGACTCGTTCAAGCACGGCTACCTCCAGAAGCTGGAGCTCAACCTCGGCAACATGAAGCGCGCGCAGCGGCAGCACCAGGAGCGGCAGGGCGAGGGCCAGGAGGACCAGGACGGCCAGCCCAGCGGTGGCGGGAAGGCGCCGCTGCTCGAGGACCGCTCGCCGTCGGGATCCGTGCTGGCCGGCGCGCTCGAGCTCGCCTGGGATGCCGTCTTGCTCCTCACCTGCTGCTGCTGTTGCTTCTGCTGCGGAGGTATGCGCCTGTTTCTAGTTTACTCGATGAATACTATTTTGTCATCTTATTGTCAAAAGAGCTTGCCATTTCTCCTGGAATCGCTAAGTTTTACACACAACGTTTTTATAATTTAGCTTTACACTTAATAAAACTACAGCTGCAGAACAAAACATTGTTGACTATAATCCTTAAGAAAGTGTCTACCCGTTTTTCATGTAGTATAAATGATTCCATCGCTTGGGAAACAAATTTCTAAACTAGTATATGACAGTTTGCATTGAAATCACCATTCTTCTAGCATCCCTTGAAGAGAAATGTTCAATTCTGTTGCCCAGACATGAACAAAATGGATCTCAGATTTGGAGAAAGCCAAGAGGGCAGCTTGGCCACTAGGCCGCTTGATTGAAACTGAAAATTACTTGGGATACAAGATTGTCTGCCACTGCTTATATAGCAAAGTGGACAGCCACCTACTCTAGCATATTCCACTACATAAAGTAGATACCAAACTTGGGTGCTAAAACACCTGAAACTACCTAGATAGTGAATAGTAACAGCAGAAAGTAAGATACAAGTAGCTAGGCTTAACTATCAATCTCCCCCTAAGCCTAGTGCTGAGTGATTTGCTTTAGACCAATTCTCCTCCTCATCTCCTAGAACTTGGTCTTGCCCAGCGACTTAGTGAGTATGTCTGCAAGCTGATCAGTAGTGGCAATGTGGTTGGCCTTGATGCTCCTCTGCTTGGTGATGACGCAGGTGTCGCAGAACTGCCCGACGTGCTTGATCACCGGCAGTCCGCGCACCATGTCCTCCTTGCCGAGCTTGTGCAGCGCGTCGAAGTGGAGATGACCGTAGCGCTCATGCCAGCGCCACGCTTCGTCATCCTTTCGCGCGGCGAGGCAGAGCGGCCGAGCCGTTTCGAGGTGGAGGATGTAGAGGCGATTGGCGCCGTGGCGGACCTTGACCAGAAGCCGGCCACGCTGATCCCAAATCCTCAACACGCCCTTGTCGATCTCCACCTTTGAGCCGCCTTCATCTAGCTGGCCGAGGCTCATGATCGAATTGTGGAGCGCCGGGATGTAGTAGACGCCGTGAAGCACCCGGTGCTTGCCAGTCTTCGCCTCGAAGATGATGGAGCCGACGCCATGAATCTCCACCTTTGACTCATCGCCGAACTTCACCGTGCCTCTGGCTTTGCAGTCGAGGTTGGTGAACAGTTCGCGACGGCCTGTCATGTGGTGGGTGGTGCCGCTGTCTAGGTACCAGCCGTCGAGCTTGTCCTCGCCGGAGCCGGTGTTGAGGAAGACACGGGCTCGCGGCTCCTCGATGTCGAGGTCGACGGCGGACTCGGTGCAGAAGGTCGAAGTTTGCGCCTTGCCGCGGCTCCCTTCCGCATCCAGCTCTAGGAACCCGTGCGCGAGAAACAGAGCAGCCTCTGCTTCTGCGACGTTCCGTTGTGCCTGCGCTCGCGTCGGGGATGGGGGGCAATCCCTGGCCCAGTGTCCGGCGCGGTTGCAGTTGAGGCAGGTGTCATCGCGGTTCGCCTTGCGTTCGCCACCGGCGGCGCCTGCCTTGTCCGCTTGTGCTCCGCCGCCATCGCGATCTCCCTTGGGCTTGTTCTTCTTGCCGCCACGGGGACGCCGATGACGATCCTTGGATGATCTGGCGCCTTCCTCATTCTTCTCGAAGGCACGCCACTGCTCAGCAGTGTACAGCAGCTTGCCCCTGACGGCGCTCGGCTCGGAATCCGGCGCCCAGCTCGGAATCTGGCGCTTGCTCGCGGTTCTGCACCGCCTTGAGCCTCCCGGTGACATCCTCGACGCTGAGCTGCTCGCGTCTCGATCGATATGACGATCTGCGCGTACTTCTTCGGCATGCAGCGGAGAAACATCTCCACCGCGCGCTCCTCCGTGGGGTCGGTGTCGCCGTTGCGCGCCATTTGCTCTATCAGGTTGGTCAGCCGCACGACGAAGTCGTCGACTTGCTCACCGGGCTGAAAGGCGAGGCCTTCCCACTCCCCTCGGAGGCGCTGCAGCGTTGGCCGGCGTACGCGATCTCCACCGACGCGTGCCGCGGCGATCGACTCCCACGCCAGCTTCGTCGTGGCCTTGTTGGCGATGGAAGCGCCAAGCTCGGTGGGGACGGCGGCGCACAGCGCCTCCAACGCCCGTCGATCGTCGTCGTACTCGACGCCGCCGACGTGGACCGCCTCCCATTGCCGCCGAGCCTGCAGCTTGACCTTCATCAGCAAGCTCCACTCGTGGTAGTTCCCCTTGGTGAGCATAGTTGCTAGGCGTCCCTGCTCCGGTGTCGCGGTAGACCGTCTGTAGCACCGTGGAGCGCCTGCGGCGACCACGACGCCGCTCTGGTGACGGCGACTGGCGGCGGCACCCGATCGGACTGCGCGACCTTCCTCCCGCTGGCTCCGGCTCCTCCCGCTCCATCTCAGCGCGCAGCGCCGCGGCTGCAGCCACCGTGGCCTGGGCCGTAGCCGCTGCCTCTGCGGCAGCAAGGCGTGTCGCGCGGTCGTCAGCTCCTGCTCCGGTTCCTCGGCCGACGGCACCGCAGGCTCTAGCGATTTGGCTGGCGGTGGACATGGCTCTGCTCACTCAAGAACACAAGTCTCTGATACCAATTGTTGCCCAGACATGAACAAAATGGATCTTAGATTTAGGGAAAGCCCAGAGGGCAGCTTGGCCATTAGGCCGCTTGGATTGAAACTGAAAATTACAAGACTTGGGATACAAGATGGTCTGCCACTGCTTATATAGCAAAGTAGACAGCCACCTACTCTAGCATATTCCACTACATAAAGTAGATACGAAACTTGGATGCTAAGACACCTGAGACTACCTAGACAGTGAATAGTAACAGCAGAAAGTAAGATACAAGCAGCTAGGCTTAACTATCAAATTCATCATCTTCAAATTGTAAATTCAGGTTCCAAATTTAACAATCCTCATTTCATACCCAAGTGGCCAAGTAGAACTTCAATAACCTGAATTTATAATTTGTAATTTTGTATTAGCTCCTTTTGTATCTGTAAACTAGCCACTGGAATAGTCAACAAAATTTCAATGCACTAATTTCATTATAAAATTAATTTGGCCTTTGCAGAAACTTCAAAATGGCTACTGGTCTGCTATTCTTAGAACTATATTTTTTTTTCTTCTAAAGAAAGCAAAAGAATACAAAGAGGAGGAAATACACATGGTAGAGACTTGAGAGGTTGGAGACAGATTTCAATAGGTGATTGTTCGATGAAAAAATGGGTAAGAAGGATTGCAGACTTGTTACTTTACGACCTTACTAATATGAAGGTTAGAGAGGAGACATTTGAGAGCGAATAGGTCTCGAGAATTGATTGATAGATTAACAGCAGTACATGGTACAATATATAGGCAAGGATCAATATGGTTTATAGAAACACCCAATCAACGGTGATCCTTGCCTTATCAATATAATCTATCTATCTTAACCACTAAGGCAGCCGTCACCACCATCCTCGACGTCGATTCCGGTAACATCAACCGCTGGCGTGATCAGTTTCTTCTCATCCTCGGCAAGTTCTCCCTCCAGGATCACGTTCGAGAGGAACCTCCAGCCCCAATTCCTCCTGATTGGGCCCGGATGGACTGCGTCGTCAAGTCCTAGATCGTCGCCACGCTCACGGACGACCTTGGCGAGATCATCTCCGCCCAGGGCTCCACCGCTCGGCATGCCTGGCTCACCGTCGAGTCGCAGTTTCTTGGCAACCGCGAGGCTCGCTCCATCCATCTCGACACGCGGTTTCGCAACTTCGTCCAGGGCGACCTCTCCGTCACCGACTACTGCCGCAAGCTGAAAAAGATGACCAATGATCTCATGGCCCTTGGCGAGGTCGTCACTGACCGCACACTCGTCCTCAACGTGATCTGCGGCCTCAACGAGCGCTTCAGCCACGTTGGGACGCTCCTTCGTCGCGCTCGACCGTTCCCCACCTTCCTGGAGGCTCGTGACGACCTCATCCTCGAGAAACTCACCATGGAGAACCGCAAGGACGCACCTGCCACTGCGCTCGCCGCCTCCACCACTCCCAGCCCTATCTCAGGAATTGATTGATAGATTAACAGCAGTACAGGGTACAATATATAGGCAAGGATCAATAGGGTTTATAGAAACACCCAATCAACGGTGATCCTTGCCTTATCAATGTAATCTATCTATCTTAAATCAACGGTGATCCTTGCCTTATCAATGTAATCTATCTATCTTAACCCCTAAGGCAGCCAGCCTAACAGGCTAGGTGCCAGGCCCAAGGTCAGCCCATTAGGGTGCCTTTCTAACACGCCCCCGCAGTCGAATCGTTAGCCACTCTGCACGTTTAGACTGGACCTAAACTCTGTGAAAACTGAAGTAGGCAGCCCTTTGGTGAAGATATCTGCATATTGCGAAGAGGTGGGAACATGCAGAACACGAAGATCACCAACGGCGACTCGCTCCCGGACGAAGTGAAGATCGATGTCAATGTGTTTGGTGTGCTGATGCTGAACCGGGTTGGAGGTCATGTAGACAGCACTGATGTTGTCACAATACACCAGTGTGGCGCGTCGTAGAGGGGCATGCAGCTCCAGAAGTAGCTGGCGGAGCCAAGTAGCCTCTGCAACTCCGTTGGCCACCGCGCGATACTCGGCTTCATCCCTGGATCTTGACACTGTGTTCTGGCACGAGTGTCCGGACAACTAGCCTAGTCAGCGTCGGTGTAGACGACAAGATCAGTCGAAGTAGACGGTCGCAGCAGGAGACCAAGATGAAGAGTGCCTCGAACGTAGCGAAGAATCCTCTTCAGGGCAGCAAGGTGAGGCTCACGAGGATCATGCATGTGGAGGCAGACCTGTTGAACTGCATATGCAATGTCTGGGCGGGTGAACGTCAGGTACTGGAGAGCTCCGGCAAGGCTGCGGAAGTCTGTAGCATCAGACACAGGGGCCCCATCAGCTGCAGCAACCTTCGGATTGGTGTCAACTGGAGTGGAGCACGGCTTGCACTCTGTCATCCCTGCACGTTCCAGAATGTCTAGCATATACTGTCGCTGTGAGAGAAGGAGGCCATCACCACTTCGCTGAACCTGCATACCAAGGAAGTGATGCAATGCACCGAGGTCTTTCATGGCGAACTCCTGCTGAAGGGCTGAGATAATCCGCCGAAGGAGACCGGGTGAGGAAGCTGTGAGGACAATGTCATCCACATAGAGCAACAGGTAGGTTGTATCTGATCCACGCTGGTAAATAAAAAGTGAGGTGTCTGACTTGGCTTCAACAAACCCAATAGACAGCAGGAATGAGAGGCCATCCGGCTGTACCATGCGCGAGGAGCCTACTTCAGGCCGTATAGGGATTTCTTCAGAAGGCAGACAAAGTCCGGGTGAGTTGGATCTTCGAACCCGGACGGCTGCTGGCAATACACAATCTCAGACAGATTGCCATGAAGGAAGGCGTTCTTCACATCTAGCTGGTGGATGGGCCAGGTGCAAGAGAGCACCAAGGAGAGCACCGTGCGGACAGTAGCGGGCTTCACCACACGACTGAATGTCTCATCGATGTCAACACCAGGCCGCTGGGTAAAGCCACGAAGAACCCAGCGTGCCTTCTACCGCTCAAGGGAGCCATCGGACTGAAACTTGTGCTTGAAAATCCACTTGCCAGTGACGACGTTGGCCCGAGGAGGTCGAGGCACGAGGTCCCAAGTGTGATTCTACAAGATAGCACTATGTTCTTCTTCCATAGCCGCTCGCCAATTGGGGTCAGCGAGAGCGCCGAAAGGTCTTTGGCACTGTAGAGAGGGGGGCGGCGTGGTAGGCGGCAGGCATCCGATAGCCGCTCTTCGACCGCGTGCCCATAGGGTGCTGGTTCGTCACTGGAGTGACAGCAACGACGCCCTTGGGTAGCGGGGCGGCCGGTGTAGGAGCAGCCGGAGCAGGCGATGTCGGGGCGGCTGGTACAGGAGTAGCCAGCGGTCAGGGTCGACGCGTGTAGTGGTTCGTGAAGGCCCGATCCGATCGGAGAGGTGGGAACCCGGGCGGGGGTCCTGTGCCTGCACGCAGGGCAGGCGGGATGTAGAGCGGGGAGGCCTCTCCAGGCGTGTTGGGCAACGTCGTGGCCGCGCGTGGCGCGGTAGGTGTCCCCGACGCCCGCAGCGCTGGTGGAATGTAGAGCGCGGGCGCCGGTGGATCATCAGCATCATCAGCAGGCAGGGGCGCCCCAGGCACAGTCGCAATGGTACCGGCAGGGGCGCTGGAGACATCAGCGGTGCTGGGTGGTGTTCCTGCAGACAAAAACTTGTGCATCGGTCCAATAGGAGGGAGCACAGGGTCAGTAGTATCGTCATCGAGGAATTGTAGGTCCGCTGGAGCACTAGGACCATGGCCCTCAGCAAAGGGAAAGGCCGTTTCATCGAAGATGACGTGCCGGGAGACGATGACTCTATTGGAGGAGAGATCAAGGCAGCGGTACCCTTTGTGATGAGCAGAATAGCCTAGGAAGACACACAGGACAGACCTAGGGGCGAGTTTGTGGGGTGCAGTAGCCGACATGTTTGGGTAACATTTGCAACCGAAGACTTGTAGATGATCATATGCTGGTGGCTTGCCGAACAGGGCAAGGTGCGGCATGAAAAACTGTAG